ATTTTAGTGGAAATTTTTTTCTCGTGGGATACCCAACAGCGAATTATACTGGACATTTTTTGACGTTTACAATAACAGACCATTTTTGACAGACTGGTTTTTATTTGTTCACATAATAGGTTTAGTTTTGATACATTTTAGTTACAATGCTAAGGTGTTTTCTATATTCTTCGGCCACTTCTTTTCTTCTTAATGGCGAAAATGCAGGACTTTGGATGCTTTGAATTATGTGTCTATGTCTAATAAAATATATATAATATTTAGACACTAATTTATTCACCTTTTTCCCATTCAGCACTTTGAATTTTGCGTAGTTTAGGTGCAAATATTCGTGGACAATTCGCAACAAATTTTCGTTTTTCAAGTTGGAGCCACAATCCTCTATTAATCCGAGTAAGTAAGTCATGGTGCAATGATTGATCATTACATCAGACAATTTCACGCATATTTTGCATAGCGTATGATTTTCAAATCGATTCATTTTTAAACAAATAGGTAATTTTGTTGGTTTTACTTGCTGTGCAATATTCTTTATCGCAACAAAACGCGAGTTATTTAATGTTTTGAACTGTCAAAATACAATGATCACAGCCTCCTACGATTGATGCTTGCTGACGCTGGTTATGAATTTCATACCATTTTAAAGCGCTCATAATGCATGTTAATAAAAACGCAGAAAAAACAATTTTCTACCACTTGTAGTTATTCAAAACTTACGTAAAATTAAAGAATATACTATTTTCTATTTTCAAATGGTATTCTCATGCAACTACAATGAGTAGAAATAAGCAATTTGAAGGCCTAAATAATTGCAGCGAAACATTTTTTTTACGTCGGGCCGCTTGACAACTTCAAAACTGAAATTATATTCGAGGTTAGGGTCTCACTTAGTTACCATGACAACTCAACAATCAAGGCGACAACACCTTTTATGTTTCACTGGTGACTTGGAGAAAATAATTTGCATTGTTGAGAAACGAAAAATAAATTTTAAAAATATTTAATTTTCAACCATAATTCGGCGTAGAATTTTCTTACCGAATACCACGCGAGGTCAAATTAATATCAGGAAATTTTTTGACCTCTAGTGGTATTACTAGTGAAAACATTGGTTTTACAAATTTTATAGTCAAAAATGTAAAAAACTGTCAACAAAAAAACTTAGGGGCAATTTTACCTTAAGCCCCCCTAATTTACCCACCTATGAAGATGTTCAAAAACTGGGGTTTAGTCCATTAAATAGAGCATAAAAAGGTAAGCATTTGTACCAAGTTTCACTCAGTTATCTTTAAACGTTTAGAAAATATTTACAAAAGAGTCATCAGGACTTCACTTTTAACACCCTGTATCTAGGAAAAGAAACGTTTTCGGACCTATGTTTATATAAACTTTTACTCCTATTTTAGGATGTAGATTATGCTGTTAAAATATGACCGTCTAATTTCGGGATACCCTGTATATAAATTATGATACACCTATTCACCAGAGAACAAACTTCGTATATTGATATAATAGTTGTCTACAGTGTAGATGCGATGGTTTGTGATTTAATGCATATGAAACGATGTTTTTTTTTTAAAACGCTTTGTTGAACGCAGTAGATGTGAATTTTGTCGGATTAGTAAAAAAAATAGTGAAAAAAACCTCTGTAACACTAGGTATGTTTCTAACATTTAAATAAAATAGTATAAATACTTTCAGAATGGTAATATGTTTAAATATATTTTAAGGAAGCAAAAATCTGCAGTGTTTAAATAGATTTTAACTGTTTCATTATAACCAATCCTGGCTGGAATTTTATATTTGCTGAAAGATTATAGGCCATTTTTGTGTATTTATAATGGCAATATAGATTTACTAGTGTATTTTTGGTTTAATGATATTTTTATTAAATTGAATATAATTTTAATAATCTATTTACAGAAAAAACAACGAATTGTAAAAGATTATTAGAGGTCACATGTTCTGCCCAGTCTGAAATAATTTTTTTGATCCATTAGTGAAATATATTAGTTATTAAATGTTTTTTTTTTGAAAATTGAAAACAACTTACCATTACAACATATACAATAATATACGATAGGTGTATTAAGCAGATATTTATAGTTTCGACTGTTTGATGAACAGCCCTGGTTCCGGTTTCGCTCTGAATGGAGAAAGACGTGGTCCGTTTAGTACCAAGATTCAAAGTATTTAAACAAGGGCGCGCCAAATCGATTTGAATGCCAGATAAATAAATTTAACCAACCTAAATCGATCAAACAATAGAAATAAAATGAGACAACGAACACTGCTAATAACAGTTAATAGGTTGTCAAACCTTATACCCTCCAGTGACAATTAAAAATTTACATCAATCTTTATTTTAAACACAATTACTTCAAATATATAAAAACTAATCACAACTATGTGTCATTATAGCAAAAAATATTTTATCTTAAATTATAAGAAAGGGAAAAAATATGTAAGTAAAATCAAATGTCCCTTGGACAGAAATCAAACCAATAAAAATAATCTTTGTTAAGGCGGATAATCTCCTACCACATAAGTAAAACTGAATATATCCATAGGCGTTGGTACCAAGGCATAGACTTTATGTGCTATCTGCACAGAGTAAAAAATCTAATGTGTCCAACACATGACTTTCCTATCTAGTTATTACGGGCTTTTTTCGGTTATTTTGTACAACCTATTGTAGCACCTCTGTAAATATCTAGAGGTTAACTTAATATATACATTTTTCGCATACATCTAACTCAAAAATTCTGAAAAATTTTAATTTTATAATTTTCCTCCAATTTTTCCATTATGGTCCATTTTAGAGAAATCATGTAAAAAACAAAATTATAGAGATCGATATGGCAAACATCTTTTAATTCAACAATTTTCTTAAAAATCATAATTTTTTACATTTTGTAAAATTTCTCGAATACGGACCATTTTAGGAAAATTTTGCATAAAACAAAAATTATAGAAAATAATATTAGAACAAACTTTTATTTAAAAAAATTTTCAGATATATTCCATAAAATATAAAAACGGCCTCCCATAAAGTACCCCCAAGGTGTTCCGCCTTCGTCCAAAATCTAATCATTTCACCACAGACCGAAATAAAACAAGTTTCAAATTTAATGTTTTTTCCTTTATCCGTTTTTGAGTTTCTTAAAAATTCGAAATTTACACATTTTCTCAAATATCTCGAATACGGTCCATTTTAGAGAAATTATGTATGGGATAAAAATTGTAGAGAATTATATTATAAACAACTATTATTTGAACAATTTTTATAAAAAAATAATTTTTTTACATTTTGTCAAATTTCTCGAATACGGACCATTTTAGAAAAATTTTTTTCAAAACAAAAATTATAGATAATAATATTGTAAGTAACTTTTATTTAAAGAATTTTCTTCTACAAACGTAAATAACGGATAATTCTATAAAATATAAAAATGACCACCAATAAAGTACCCCCCCAAATGTTCCGACTCTGCCCAAAATCTAATATGTTCACCGCAGGCCGGAATAAACCTTAAATTTAAAATTTGGTGTTTTTCTTTGTATCGGTTCATGAGTTATGGTGGATAGAGACACACACACACACTGACAGACATCATCGCAAAAATAGTCGAAACGGATGCAGGGGACCCCAAAACGTAAAAATCCGTCGAAAACTGGAAGTCGAAAAAAATCATGATTCCTATACTTTCCTTATCTGTATACAGATAGGAAAGTAAAAATACCGATAAATAGTCACTTGATTTCAGTCGTACAATTACCATAACCTAAATGTTAATTAAGTGAATAGAATCTGAACACTATAAAATATACTCGTATAACAGCTCAATCTCCTTCCCAAAATATTACATAAAAAACTTAACTTAAATATCTACTACAATGTTTAAGCCATAAAAAGGTATGAATGAAATTAATAAAAACCCCCTTTCTTGACTCTGAGTCCTCCGTTGAACGTAGCAACTATATCTCTGCAGCTCCCTCCAATATAGATAAATAGTCGTCAACCAGAGGCGAATAGATGAAACCTCAATTCAAGCCCTTAGTGCCTATAGGGATGGTAGTAGAAACCTTGGAGGTGGAACACTCAATTCATGAGTCCACAATCAAATCAAATAATTGACCAAAATCAACAGTTTATGAAGTAGAGCCGCTCATGGTTCATCAATTCCTCTTCGTTGGATTGAGATTCAACCGAATCTTACAAGATAAGTGAAAAACACAAGTTTGCCTTTAATATATGTATGGTATTAGCCACATTTATTGTTTTTCTTCGTTTCGTAATATTAAGAGGTTAATTAAACTCCTAAAGGTTGAAACGAATATTAATTTGATTAAAACATTTGTTTTTCTTACTAATTTATTCTGGTTACACAAGATTCTCTATACTTATTTTTTTTTATCGAAAATCAAAAGCTTAATATTTCAAATCTTTATTCTTAGTCTGTATTTTAAACTAAAGATTTACTACTCTAATATTCCTGTAAAAAGTTCATTACCTTTAAAACTAACCCACGATTCTATAATAGAGAGTGGATGCTGAGTTTACTTGACTTTAGCAAACATATAACATCTATAAATCACTACAAAGTTATCACTACTTTAATTACATCTTAAATATTGCTACAAATTGGCGCCCAACGTGGGCGTGAGTTGTCTTGAACATAGGAAATAAATAATTTTATAAAATCACTACAAATTAATTATTCTGTTCTTAAATATCACTGCAAATTCCTATTTTCTTAAACATTACAGTATTAATAGTAAGTAAATAAATATTTATTAATTACATTTTAAAATTTACACCATTGTCCAAAAACTTATTTTGACTGTACTTTTGACATTTTTTTGCTGTTTTTTAAATAGATCATGTACTCTTATTGGAAACAATCGCATATTTTAGCTAAAAAATACAATCTCAAAATTCCTTTCGATAAATTTCCATCAAAATGAAAACTAATTTTACTTAATCTCACGTTATCTAGAAACCCTTCTTCAAATGGACAGACAACAACTCCAGAAGTTTGTCCAGTACCTGATCTCAGAGCATCACACAGAGGTGCTGCCCACGGCCCAAAAATTGGCCGACGAAATCCTCCAACAACGATCCGAAATCAACCAAATTCCCGGCGCTCCCGACCCTACGGCCGGCGCCTCTGCAGACGATGAACACACTTGGCACCTCGACGAAGAGCAAGTCTGCGAGCAGGTCAAGAGTTACCTGTCCCAAGGGGCGTACTATAATGCGAATAAGCAGCTGAATTCCTTGTTTTCTAAGGTAATTAAGACATTAATTGCGTTGGGCGCCGTTTTGTAACCATTTAACTTATCCAGGTTAGAGAAATGCTTCGAGCCCAAGACTCGAACGGAGCCCGAATGCTGACCCTCATAACCGAACAGTTCCTATCGGATCCCAGGCTGCAAATGTGGCGCAACCAAGGTACGCCGATGACCGACAAATGCCGACAACTTTGGGATCAACTCGGCTCTCTATGGGTGTGCATTGTCCTAAATCCGAACTGCACCTTGCAGGAGAAGCACCACTGGAAGCAACTGTTGGAAAAATGGTCTGTGATTGATGTTTGCCCGCCAGAAGACCCCGATTATAGGTTGCAGCAGCAAGGGTCCAGGGATTCGGTAATACAATTTATGCTTTAATTAATACAATTTTATGCTTTAATTAATACAATTTTATGCTTTAATTAATACAATTTTATGCTTTAATTAATACAATTTATGTTTTAATTCGTATAATATGTTTTATTAATACAATTTATGCTTTAATTAGTACATTATGCTTTATTATTACAATTTATGCTTTAATACAATTATTTATACATTAATTGCTGACGGTACCTGTTTAGAAGTGTAAAATTTACGTTAATTTTGTTTACAGTATTCGAGTCGCGATAGAGATCGAGATAGGTACGACGAAAGGTACAGAGACCGCGACAGGTACGCCGATAGAGAACGAGATCGACGAGAAAGGAGGGATAGAGACAGAGAGAGAGAAAGAGACAGGAATAGAGCTATGTACGATTCATCTGACAGTTCGGAAGATGACGACGATGATGATTCAAATTCTTATACTCACAGGTAAGTTGTCAGACTTGCCACACCATCTTTGTATATATAGGTCAAACGGAATGCTTCATGAGATTAAGAATGAAAAACATAAAGGCTCAAATTATAAATATCAATTTTTTTAAGAAATCTTTAAACTATTCTATAAAATTCAAAATTACTTAACCCATCAATACCTATTTTTTAATATTTCATAAGTTATCATATCCGAGCCCTCTATTTTATCTATCTATATTTCTCAGTACTAAAACCGAATCATTCGACTTTTTAGAAACAGTAAGCGATTACGTTTGAGCGGCAGCTCGAAATCCCAAACGCCTGCTTTGCCCAGATCGATTTTCCATCGAGCTTTGGACGCCGTCGGCATGTCTTGGGACAATATGCACCTAAAGAACATCCTATCCAGCGACACTTACTGCTCGCACGTTCCCGACACCTCCAGTACCGGTAGCTTTAACTCCCAAGGTCAGCCTTTGTGGCACGGTGAGTAAAATCGTTTCTAAAATATATTCGAGATGAAATTAATACAATTTATACGTTAATTAATACAATTTATGCTTCAATTATTATAATGTATGTATTAATACAATTTTTACTTAAATTAATGCAATTTATACGTTAATTAATACAATTTTACATGTTAATTAATATAATTTATACGTTAACCCAATTTATGCTTTAATTAATACAATTCATGAGTTAATTAATTCAATTTATACGTTAACTGATATAATTTACGCTTTAATACAATTTATGCTTTAATTAATACAATTTATGCATTAATTAATACAGTTTATACAATAATTAATCAAATATATGCAATAATTAATACATTTTTTAAATTTATTTTTGTGTTAATACAATATAATTTATTCGTTGATAGAATTTGTGCATTAATTAATACAATTTGTTAATATAATGTATACGTTAATTAATGCAATGTATATGTTATTTAATATAATTTATGCATAATATAATTTATGAGGTAATTCAATTTATACTTTAATACAATTCGTGCATTAATTAATACAATTTATGGTTTACAAGATGCAAAAAAATCGGAATTTGAATTCACCAAGGTATAAAATTCAATTGAATAAAAATCATTTTAATTTATAACATCAAAATTTTATTTACAAATTCCACATCATGAAAATATAAACAACTTTTTACAATATATAAAAAAAATTAATCTTGTTTTCTGAAGTTATCTGAAAATAATTTTCAAACGTTGCATAATATAATCTTTATACATTTTATACATTTTTTTATACATGTATGTCGTTTGACAGTTCAAACAAATTTTCTTCAAGATTATCTACTTTAATTATTTATTCATTGTATTTCAAAATAATATTTTATTCATAACTATTGTATGAATAAAATTATTTTCGTCATTTAATTCAATTTATGTGTTGATTAATACAATTTTTACCTTAATTAATACAATTTATATCTTAATTAATACAATTTATACCTTAATTAATACAATTTAGGAGATTATACAATTTATGAGTTCAATACATTAATGAATACAATAATAAATACATTAATGAATACAATAATAAATAAATACAATAATGAATACATTAATGAATACATTAATGAATACATTAATGAATACATTAATGAATACATTAATGAGTACATTAATGAATACATTAATGAATGCATTAATGAATACATTAATGAATACATTAATGAATACATTAATGAATACATTAATGAATACATTAATGAATACATTAATGAATACATTAATGAATAAATTAATGAATACATCAATGAGTACATTAAATAATATAATTTATGCCTTAATTCATACGAATTACGCTTTTTTTAGAGTCAATACCGCTGTGCGCCGCTCGCGTGGATTCTTTACGATCTCACGGCCACATGGAAGCAGCTCTTCGTCTGGCCGTATCCGTCGTGAGAACGATGAAGCAACAGCAACTCATAGCGCAGCGCAAGTGGCACGAAAGTCAACAAAATTCGAGCGCTAGTACCAGCGTGAAACCACCGCCTAGCTGTAAAGTGACTGCGTGTACATCCAGATGTCAAGGCCAGTGTACGGTGACTTCTTGTTCGACAACTTCCATCAATGCTCCTACGAATATCGACGGATGGGTGGGACATCCTTTGGATCCTATCGGATGTCTTTTCGATACTCTAGCGGACGCTTCTGTGGTGCCTGAACATGAAAGGCCTCGAACACCGACCAGTTATTTAGGTAAGTGAATTAACACAGGTATATGGATGAATAATTCCCAATCTTCCTAAAAAAAAAACAGCCCCACGTTGGGCGCCAATTTGTAAAGAACATTGTACATAATATAAAACATTATTTATACAGATTTAGTGGGAATGGAAGACCAGCACAGCAATCTGAGACCCAGATATCACCACGTCCCTGTGGTAGGATCAAGGGATCGTTCGGAAACATATCTTACTCTAGCTTTCGAGGTAGCTTTGATCGGTTTGGGACAGCAGAGGATAATGCCCGTGGGACTATATGCACAGGTGAGAATTATCAGTTGAAGTTTGAAGATTCGCAACGTTAAACGCCGATTTTGTTTGTTTGTTTACAGGAAAAAGCTTGCAAGCAAGAAGACCGCTTGATAGTCAAACTTCAAGAAATCGAATTGGACAATAGTCTAGTGGCCGTTCTTCGCCGACAAGCCATCATTCTTTTGGAAGGTGGCCCTTCGAGCGGTTTGGGTATAGGAATCCATCCCGAAAGCATTCCGATGCATACGTTTGCCAGATTCCTTTTCTTATCCTTGTTAAATTACTACCCCGATTTGGCCTACGAAGTTGGATTAAGAGCTATGCGGTTACCGCTGTTGGAAGAGCACGAAGATTCCGATGACCCTTTAGGCGGAAATGCAGGCAGTTCTTTAATGATGAGTAGATCGCCGAGATGGTTCACTTTGGGACACATCGAGACGCAACAGTGCGCTTTGAGTTCGACGATGTTGAGCGCGGCTAAAGGTGAGTCAATGTTTCTATCATACTTGTAGGAAATTTTAGAATATATGTAGTTTCCCAAATGAATAGTCAGTCATGCAAAGAAAGAAAATTTTTATTATTTATGTAAAAATTAAAATTAAAAATGAATCTCTTATTTACATTAATTGATATTTTAAGGAGTTCAATTAATTTTGGGTAATAAGATATTAGCTATAACTTGTTAGTTTATATTTGTCAAACTATATTAACTTCACTCCAGGTGGCAATTTATACCTTAATTAACACTATACATTAATTAATACAATGTATGTGTTAATACATTGTATACGATAATTAATACAATTTATATGTTAATTAATATACTTTACGGGTCAGTTAATTCAATTTACATGTGAATTCATATAATTTATACTTTAATTAATACAATTTATCAGTTATTATATTTTTTACTTCAGTTAATACAATTTACAAGTTAATTAATACAATTTTTGAATTAATTAATACAATTTATGAATTAATTAATACAATTTATGAATTAATTAATACAATTTATGCTGTATTTAAAGCAATTTATGCTTTACAAGATACAAACAGTCTTTTAGTTTGTATTTGTCAAACTATCTATTAACTTCACTTCAGAAGGCAATTTATACTTTAATTAATATAATTTATATATTAATTAATACATCGTATGTATTAATACATTGCATACGATAAAGAACACAATTTATATGTTAATTATTACACTTTACGGGTCAATTAATTCTATTTATGTGCGAATTCATATAATTTATTCTTTAATTAATACAATTTATCAATTAATATATTTTTTACTTCAGTTAACACAATTTACATGTTAATTAATACAATTTATGAATGAATTAATACAATTTTTGAATGAATTAATACAATTTTTGAATGAATTAATATAATTTATAAATGAATTAATACAATTTATGCTTTACAAGATACAGTCTTTTAGTTTGTATTTGTCAAACAATCTATTTACTTCACTTCAGAAGGTAATGTATACCTTAATACAATTTTTTTAAATTAATACACTTTACAGGCGGCCAATTAATTAAATTAAATTGTTATTTAATATAATTTATGCTTAAATTAATACATTTTTACTTCAGTTAATACAATTTATACGTTCAGAAGGGAATTTATAATTTAATTAATTCAATTTAAGTCTTCATTATTACACTTTATGCGTTAATTAATTCAATTTATATATTAGTTAATATAATTTTTACGTAAAATATTATAATTTATCAATTAATACATGTTTTACATCAATTAATAAAATTTTATGTGTTAATACAAATTAAACGTTAATTAATACAATTTATACGATAATTAATACAATTTGTGAGGCATTTAATTTAGTTTGTATTTGTCAAACTGTCTATTAACTTCACTTCAGAAGGCAATTTTTATAAAATCTTATGCTATTGTACCTTACATTTTTCCCGTTAGAATTAATGTATGTATAGGGTAGTTGTAACAGTGGTTTCTTGTGGTATATCTATTTCGGGGTTCAAAGATTTAAAATGTATGCCTATTGTTAAAGATGTATAATAAACATTGCTGTATAAATATTCCAAAAAAAGTTGTTGAGTAAATTTAATCTCCTAACTGCCTTATACAAAATTCATTGTATTTAAAGTTTGCTATAATTCTCAAAGATCTTTTCTGAGTTTCTAATACGCCTGATAAATATGGTGACATCGTCGTAGTGTTTTTTAATTATCTCTCTTATTATTGAAAATAAAATTATGATTTGAAGACCATTAGAATCCTTAAGTTTTTATCTAGTTAATAAGCAGGAATACATTTTTTCGAAATTTTTGAGTTTTTATGATGAATATTTAAAAAATCGGTTAAACAGATGAAATAAAATTAATCAAATGAAATTAAATCGAATTAAATCGGATTCAATTGAATTAACTATAATTAAATTGAATTAACTATAATTAAATTGAATTAAATATAATTAAATCGAAATCAATGGAATTAAATCGACTTACATCGAACTATATCGAATTATATCGAATTAAATTGTTTTAAATTGAATTAAATTGTATTAAATCGAGATAAATCGAGATAAATCGAGATAAATCGAGATAAATCGAGATAAATCGAGATAAATCGAAATAAATCGAAATAAATCAAAATAAATCGAATTATATTGAATTATATCGAATTATATTGAATTATATCGAATTGTATCGGAATTAAATCGAATAAAAACGTGCACAATGGAATAAAATGAATTTAAAATATTTTGAATGTAACAAACAAGGATAAAGGGATATTTATATAATTTTGTGCCATTTACAATTTTGAAATTTAAAAAATTTATTGGACCTAGCAAGATAGAGATAAAAACTTGATTTGTTTAATAGTCTTAAGCAGAATTTTTACTATTAAAACACATAACACTTTTAATTTGAGAATGTTTCTTTTATTCACAGAATGGATTTTTTAACTACATATGTCAGTAAAATAAAAAGACCTTCGGTGCACTTTCATCGATTTTTCCCCAAATCTGGGGAAATTTGTAGAATATCTAGTAAAACCGCACCGAAAGATTTAATAGTAAGTACGTCTTATAATTACCTAGAAAATTGGTATCGAAAAGCAACTCTGCTTCTCCAGCGATCGACAGATCCCTTAGACGGCTAACGTGCAAGCGTTCGGTCGTTGAAGAAACGGTGTTTCCTTTCTGGGAAATTACTAGGAATACATACCATTGAATCATGCGGTGCGGTTTTGCCATATCTATTCTACAATTTCCCCAGATTTGGGGAAAAATCGATGTGTCTTACTTTCTATTTATATTATTTAAAACTAAAAATAGAATTGTATAATTTTTAATACCCAAATTCTTATCCATAAAATTCCAACGAAACTACTGGATTATATCTCGTAGTTTTTAAAACTTTGAAGAATGTTAAGAGGTTTTTATTAAATTGCAGGTGAAGTGATGCGATTGAGAACAGTTCTAGAATCGTCCCAGAGACATATCCACAGTTCTTCCCACTTATTTAAGCTGGCCCAGGATGCCTTTCGCTTCGCCACACCAGAAAACGGACCCAGACACCCCACGCTCCTGAGCGTAGCCTTCGAACTGGGACTACAGGTAAATATAAATCATATATTTAGTCAAAAATAACTCATTTACATAGCAATATTAAAAGAAACAAAAAACATCAACTAGTTAGCAAGTAATCAGGCAGTTTTCTTTTATATCATTTAATAATTCATTTGCAGCGTTTTTATCCTTTCTGCTCGTTTTTAGGTCATGAGAATGACGTTATCGTCTCTGAATTGGCGCAGGCGCGAAATGGTGCGATGGTTAGTGACGTGCGCGACGGAAGTGGGAGTAGACGCTTTGATCTCCATCATGCAGAATTGGTACCAATTTTTCACGGCCACCGAAGCCACCGGTCCAGTAGCCACGACCATCATGTCGCACAGCACCATCATGAGGCTCAACTTGAACTTCGGACAGCAAGAGGAGCTGTCTAGCTGCGCGCGCACGCTTGCCTTACAATGCGCGACGAAGGTATTTATTTATATTCATTATAACTTAATTTATTTGTACTAAATATGACATCAATTTATTTCTATATTACTTATACACTAATTTACTTTTACATTAAATCAAATTAATTCGAAATAATTTGAATTAAATCGGGTTGATTCGAATTAAATTAAATTATATCGAATTAAAAACTAATTAAATCGAAATAATTAGAATTAAATTGAATTAAATCGAATTATATACAATTATATCGAATTGTATCGAATTGTATCGAATTGTATCGAATTATATCGAATAGTATTGGAATTATATCGAATGACATCGAATTATATTGGATTATATCGAATTATATCAAATTATTTCGAATTATATCATTGAGATAGAATAAGGAGGAGATGCTATGACAATGCTAAATTGTCCGCACTTTTGTATTACATTTTTACGTCAATGTCAAACTCGAGATAGTGTAGCTAGTTAGTTTTGGTGACAATAAACACCATTATTCGTTAAATAGCTTCATATAAATAATATAAAATTATTTTCATTCCGTCAGTCTTTAAATATAAAATTATTGACTTCAAATAAATCAAAGTACGACTTAAGTCGCCATTTTGATTGCACTTTTCCGTCACTTGAAGTGCGTCCATTTTTTCATATCGCAAAATAGTGTTTATGTCGTCTCCACTTTATTCTATCTCGATGAATTATGTAGAATTATTTCGAATTACATCAAATTGTATTGAATTAAATCGGATTAATTAGAATTAAATTGAATTATATCGAATTAAATTGAATTATATCGAATTAAAAACTAATTAAATCGAATTATATGAAATTACATCAAATGACATCGCATTATATTGGATTATATCGAATTCCATCGAACTATTTCGAATTACATCGAATTATATCAAATAATTATATCGAATTAATTGAATTATATCGAATTAAAAACTAATTAAATCGAATTATATGAAATTACATCAAATGACATTATATTGGATTATATCGAACTATTTCGAATTACATCGAATTATATCAAATTGTATCGAATGAAATCGGATTAATTCAATTTAAATTGAATTATATCGAATTAAAACTAATTAAATCGAATTAATTTAAATTATATTAAATTACATCGAATGACATCGAATTATATTGGATTATATCAAATTATTTTGAATTATATCGAATTAAATTTAATTATATCGAATTAAAACTTAATTAAATCGAATTAATTTGAATTATATGAAATTACATCGAATGACATCGCATTATATTGGATTATATCGAACTATTTCGAATTATATTAAATTGTATCGGATTAATTCGAATTAAATTGAATTATATCGAATTAAATTTAATTAAATCGAATTAAAACTAATTAAATCAAATTAATTCGAATTATATTAAATTACATCGAATTATATTAGATTATATCGAATTATATCGAATTATTTCGAATTATATCGAAATATTTCGAATTATATCGAATTATATCAAAGAATAATTCCGAATTAAATTGAATTATATTGAATTAAAAACTAATTAAATCGAATTAATTCGAATTATATGAAATTTCATCGAATGATATCGCATTATATTGGATTATATCGAATTCTATCCAATTCTATCGAACTATTTCGAATTATATCAAATTGTACTGAATTAACTCTGATTAATTCGAATTAAATTTAATTATATCGAATTAAAACTAATTATATCGAATTAATTCGAATTATATTAAATTATATCGAATGACATCGAATTATATTGGATTGTATCGAAATATTTCGAATATCTAATTATTTCGAATAACATCGGATTATATCAAATTGAATCGAATTATATCGAATTATAACGAGTTACATCGAATTATATTGAATTGTATCGAATTAAATCGATTGACATTGAATTATATAAAATATCGAATTAATTTGGAATTAAATCAAATTATGTAGAATTATATAGAATTTTATAGAAATATATAGAATTATATAGAATTATATAGAATTAATTATATAGAATTATATAGAATTATATAGAATTATATAGAATTATATAGAATTATATAGAATTATATAGAATTATATAGAATTATATAGAATTATATAGAATTATATAGAATTAATTAAATTGAATTAATTCGAAGTAAATCTGATTCATTCGAATTTAAATCGAATACAATCTGAATTAAATCGAATTAATTAGAATCGAGTTAAATAGAATTTAACCGAATTTAATCGAATTTAAATGAGTTAAATTGAATTTAAAATAACAATTAGAATTATATAATTTAAATATACATTAGAACAATATTCCAATTTTGATCTCCAGTTCAGTGTTATGAAAATAATTTTAAAATGTCAGTATTTTTTTTATTACAAAATACACATACGAAAAAATCGAGCATTTAATCGAATATAATCGAAATAAATTGAATTAAATTGAATAAAAATAATATTGTTAAAAGTTCTGTAAAACAGATAAAATTGAATGAAATCAAATTGATTTGTTTTAAATACAATATCAATTTATATCGTTTTCACTTATACACTAATTTACTTCTACCTTATCTAAATAACTCGATATCTAACTAAAAATCGACATAACGAAACAGTTGGGTTATTCATTAAAAATGTGACGCTTCAGACTTGTTCTCGAAGATTCTAGACGTCCATTTATAAGTTGTTGTAGTTTTGACAATAAACATAAATTGATGATTGATTCGCTCAGTGAACAACGATTTTAATTCAATTTTGTGATTTCAGGACCCTCCAAATTGTGCCTTGAACGCCTTAACTTTGTGCGAAAACGAAGCCTTAGCCTTCGAAACGGCCTACCAAATCGTCGTCGACGCCGCGTCGCACATCATGACCTCCTCGCAATTGTTCACCATCGCCAGGTACATGGAGCACAGAGGCTACCCGACCAGAGCGTACAAATTGGCCATGCTGGCCATGAAGAACGTCCATCTGGCGTACAATCAAGACACGCATCCGGCCATCAACGACATCCATTGGGCGTGCGCGTTGAGCCACTCGTTGGGCAAGACGGAGTTGTCCAATATGATACCGTTGCTGGTGAAGAACGTGCAATGCGCCACCGTGTTGTCGGATATTCTGAGGCGGTGCAGCATGACGGCGCCCGGGATCAGTTGCCCGCATCCGACGCCGCTTGACGGGGGGAAGCACCCCCACCCGCATCGGGGGCGAGGATGCGCGGGTGGGGGTATCAAGCCTCTGTCGTACGACAGGCCGCCGTTGAGGCAGCTGTTGGAGGCCGCGGTAGCTGCGTACATCAATACCACGCATTCTAGGTAAGTGAGATTTTATCGTTATCGAAAGGCAGAAAAATAGAATCGATTGTAACAAGAATCGATTATAAAATGCATTCATTGTAAAAATTGACTATATTAAATCGACTGTAAAAAGTATTAATAGTAAAAAAAATATCTATTAAAAAAAAGATTCGTTAGTACATAAAAATAATCGATTATAAAATGTGTCGGTTGTAAAAATCGATGATAAAAAATCCGTTGCATAACAAAAAATAATCGATTGTATAGGTTCGTAAATAAAATGATTCTAAAAAGTATCAACTGAAACAAAGAATTTATTTCGAAAAGTATCGATCACTAAACAGAATCGATTGTAAAAAGTATCGATCACTAAAAAGAATCGATTGTAAAAGTATCGGCAGTAAAAAAAATTAATTATAAAGAATTTCGATTGTAAAAAGAATCTATTGTAAAACCAACTAAAAAATCAATAGTAAAAGATATAAGATAATAATAATCTGTTATAGTTTCATTTAAAAAAAATAACTAAAAAGTATCGTCTGTAAAAATTAATTTATTTCTATAAGTACCAATCGCAAAAAAATCTATTGCAAAAAGTATCGGATATAAAAAGAAAATAATTGTAAAAAGTATCGATTGTAAAAAATTATTCGTTTGTAAAAACAATCGATTGTAAAAACAATCGATTGTAAAATGATTCAATTTAATAAAAAAAACACGATTGGTTTTAAAAAGAATCTATTATAAAAATCGATTGAGAGAAATTCTTTCAGATTTACTGTAAAAAAATCGATAATAGAAGATATAATAGTAAAATACCAATTGTAAAGCTTCGTTTAAAAAAATAATTGCAGAAGTATCGATCGCAGAAAGGAAGCGATTACAAAAAAAGGGTTCTTTGTAAAAATAATATCGATTTCTCTAACTTAGAACTCGGATAAATAAACTATTCTGAGATGGAGCTCGAAAAAATCGATTATATCGACTTTGAATTGGAAAAAATAGATTATTCCGACTTAGAATTAAAAAAAAAAAAAAAAACGATTATTCTAACTTAGAACTGGGAAAAATAGATTATTCCGACTTAGAACTCGGAAAAATAGATTATTCCGGCTTATAGTTAAAAAAAATCGATTATTTTGACTTAGAACTCTAAAAAAATAAATTATTCTGACTTAGAACTCGAAAAAATAGATTATTCCGACTTAGAGCTCGGATAAATTGATTATTTCGACTTAGAACTCGGAAAAATCGATTAATTTGATTTAAAATTCGGAAAAATAGATAATTCCAACTTAGAACTCGAAAAAATAGATTATTCCGACTTAGAGTTAAAAAGAAATGATTTTTCTAACTTAGAAACTGGGAAAAATAACATATTCAGACTTAAAACTCGGAAAAATTGATTATTTCGACTTAGAATTCGGAAAAATCGAATATTACTACTTAGAATTCGAAAAAAAAATCGGGTTTTCTGACTTAGATTTCGGAAAAATAGATAATTCCGACATGGAACTCGAAAAAATAGATAATTCCGACTTAAAACTCGGAAAATAGCTCATTCCGACTTACAGTTAAAAATAATGATTTTTCTAACTTAGAAACTGGGAAAAATAACATATTCAGACTTAAAACTCGGAAAAATCTATTATTTCGTCTTAGAATTCGGACAAATCGATTATTACGATTTAGAACTTAAGAAAAATCGATTATTCCTACTTAAAACTCTGGAAATCGATTACTCCGACTTAGAATTTAAATAAAATCGGCTTTTCTGACTTAGATTTCGGAAAAATAGATAATTCCAACTTAGAACTCGGAAAAATAGATTATTCCGACTTAGAGTTAAAAAAAAATGATTTTTCTAACTTAGAAACTGGGAAAAATAACATATTCAGACTTAAAACTCGGAAAAATTGATTATTTCGACCTACAATTCGGAAAAATCGATTATTACGATTTAGAACTAAGAAAAATCGATTATTCCCAATTAAAACTCTGGAAATCGATTACTCCGACTTAGAATTAAAATAAAATCGGGTTTTCTGACTTAGATTTCGGAAAAATAGATAATTCCAACTTAGAACTCGGAAAAATACATTATTCCGAATTAGAGTAAAAAAAATGGTTTTTCTAACTTAGAAACTGGGAAAAATAACATATTCAGACTTAAAACTCGGAAAAATTGATTATTTCGACCTACAATTCGGAAAAATCGATTATTACGATTTAGAACTAAGAAAAATCGATTATTCCCACTTAAAACTCTGGAAATCGATTACTCCGACTTAGAATTAAAATAAAATCGGGTTTTCTGACTTAGATTTCGGAAAAATAGATAATTCCAACTTAGAACTCGGAAAAATACATTATTCCGAATTAGAGTAAAAAAAATGGTTTTTCTAACTTAGAAACTGGGAAAAATAACATATTCAGACTTAAAACTCGGAAAAATCTATTATTTCGTCTTAGAATTCGGACAAATCGATTATTACGATTTAGAACTAAGAAAAATCAATTATTCCCACTTAAAACTCTGGAAATCGATTACTCCGACTTAGAATTCAAATAAAATCGGCTTTTCTGACTTAGATTTCGGAAAAATAGATAATTCCAACTTAGAACTCGGAAAAATAGATTATTCCGACTTAGAGTTAAAAAATAATGATTTTTCTAACTTAGAAACTGGGAAAAATAACATATTCAGACTTAAAACTCGGAAAAATTGATTATTTCGACCTACAATTCGTAAAAATCGATTATTACGATTTAGAACTAAGAAAAATCGATTATTCCCACTTAAAACTCTGGAAATCGATTACTCCGACTTAGAATTAAAATAAAATCGGGTTTTCTGACTTAGATTTCGGAAAAATAGATAATTCCAACTTAGAACTCAGAAAAATACATTATTCCGAATTAGAGTAAAAAAAATGGTTTTTCTAACTTAGAAACTGGGAAAAATAACATATTCAGACTTAAAACTCGGAAAAATCTATTATTTCGTCTTAGAATTCGGACAAATCGATTATTACGATTTAGAACTAAGAAAAATCAATTATTCCCACTTAAAACTCTGGAAATCGATTACTCCGACTTAGAATTCAAATAAAATCGGCTTTTCTGACTTAGATTTCGGAAAAATAGATAATTCCAACTTAGAACTCGGAAAAATACATTATCCGAATTAGAGTTAAAAAAAATGATTTTTCCGCCTACCTCTATCCAAAGTATACATTTTCTGGCCTCATTGCAGGGAGCAAAGTCGTACTTTTCCTCCCTAGGGAGGAAAAGTACTTTTACTCCCTAGGGAGAAAAAGTAAAAGTGACGTCATGGTATGTCATAAATGAAATAGCTTATACGGCATTGACGACCTAAACTATATTCTATTATATAAGTATAAATTTTACCGTTTATTTATAGAACACCCTGTATTTTGCAAAATAATAAAAACTAGTAAATTGTTATTTTAATTTAACGATTTTTACATTAATAATTTGACTTCAATTCATAGATTCATCCGATTTTCGAATTTAGGACAGAAATATTATAGCATGCTATGGTCGATTGACAGATCAGTTTCAAAGTGTGTTACGCTATAATATATCTACAAAATATAAAATAATATTTAAAAAATGAGTGATTTAAGCGAATTTGAAGATATAATTAATACACCACCGGATATTTTGGAACAGATTAATGCAACAGTACAATCTCTATTACCCCAAAAATCTAAAGAAAAATACGAAAAACAGTATTTACATTTCAAGCAATGCGCCGAAGAAAATTATTTAAAAATGACTTGTTATTTGAGGAAGGCGGAAAAATCATATGTATTACTTGGGAGTAAAGTGCCTTTTCCTCCCTTGGATGTTTACTGCCCTCCGCTTCGCGTCGGGCAGTAAACTTCATCCTGCGGGAGAAAAAGTGGCACTTTCCTCCCTAGTAATACAAATAGCTATTTCTAATTTAGAAACTGGGAAAAATAACATATTCAGACTTAAAACTCGGAAAAATTGATTATTTCGACTTGGAATTCGGAAAACTCGAATATTACGATTTAGAACTAATAAAAATCGATTATTCCCACTTAAAACTCTGGAAATCGATTACTCCGACTTTCAATTTTTCTGACTTATAACTAGAAAAAATCGATTATTTCGAGTTAGAACTCGGAAAAATCGAATATTCCCACTTAGAATTCGAAAAAAAAATCATTTTTTCTGACTTATAACTCGGAAAATAGATTATTCCGACTTAGAACTCTGAAAAAGGATTTTTCTGACTGAGACTCGGAAAAGCTATATACAAGATGTTTGAAAAAGTTAGAAACGTTTTTTGTTTAAATGTTGATAACTCGATTTGTTTTAGTTGAATTAAACAAAATAGTTCTCGTTAAAATTGTATTTTCTTTTTTAATCTTCCACATTATAAGATCCGAGAGCTAAGACTTTTTTGTAAAGGCCTCATAGTGAAGCGAGAGTAAGAATAATCGATTTTTCCGAGTTTTAATTAGGAATAATCTATTTTTCCGATTTCAATGTCGTAATAAATTATTTTTCTGAGTTCTAAGTTAGAATAATCTATTTGAGTTCTAAGTTAAAAAAAAATCGATTTTGCTCCAGTTCTAAATCGGGATAATTTACTTTTTCGAGTTGTAAGTCAGAAAAATCGATTTTTTCCGAGTAATAAGTCGAAATAATTCATTTTTCTGAGTTCTAAGTCGAAATAATGTATTTTTACGAGTTTTAAGTTGAAATAATAATCATATTTTTCGAGTTGTAAATAAAAAAAAAAATCGATTTTTTCGTTGTAAGTCCGAAAAATCGATTTTCCGGATTCTAAGTCAAAATAACCGATTTTTTTTAGTTCTAAGTCGGACTAATCGAGTTTTAAGTTGGAATAATCTAGTTTTTCGAAAGTTGGAATAATATATTTTTAGGAGGTCTAAGTCAGAAAAATCGATTTTTTCCGAGTTCTATGTCGCAATAATCGATGTTTTAACTTTGAAGTAAAAAAATCAAATTTTCTGAGTAATAAGTCGAAATAATTCATTTTTCTGAGTTCTAAGTCGAAATAATGCAGTTTTAGGCATTTTAAGATGAAATAATAATCATATTTTTCGAGATGTGAATCAAAAAAATCGATTTTTTCTAGTTGAAGTCCGAAAAATCGATATTCTGGATTCTAAGTCAAAATGATCGATTTTTTTGAGTTTTAAGTCGGAATAATTGAGTTTTAATTTGGAATAATCTAGTTTTTCGATTTCTAAGTCGGAATAATATATTTTTATGAGGTCCAATTTAGAAAAATCGATTTTTTTTCCGAGTTTTAAGTCGGAATAATATATTTTTCCTAGTTTTAAGTCGGAATAATAAGAAATATTTTGTTGCTCTTCTGTGATTTCGTATCATTTATAATTGTTTAAACTTTTATTTTTAAAATTGCGTTATTGATATTTGCTCCGATTTATTTCAAAAATTTGTAACTTAACTTTTTTGTTTTTATTATTTTTAAATTAATTTGGTATTTAAATGCTGTTAATTGCAGCAACTTGTTCATTTGTGCCATTTTAGTCAACAAACTATAGCTATTTTAGTTCTCAGTCAAGAATAGTTAGAAAATTTAATGAGTTAGACATAAATCTATATTATAAAAAAAAATAACATTGAGAAATAGATCTCAATATATTTGTATTATTAAAGGATACAATAGGGTTTTCTCTTATAGTAAATAAATATGTATAAATTGAATAATTCTTCCAGGTTAACCCACATTTCACCGCGTCACTACGGCGACTTCATAGACTTCCTAACCAAAGCCCGAGACACGTTCGTCTTAGCCCACGACGGCCACGCGCAGTTCACGCAACTCATAGAAAACATGAAAGTCGCCTACAAGGGCAAGAAGAAACTCATGTTTCTCGTCAAGGAGAGATTCGGCTGATATTCGTTGAAAAAATGGTACGAATAGGTACTGGTACACCGAACGTTTGCAGAATGATTCGATAATCGGCCCTGAACAGGGACGAAGTTGTTATTAGAAAGATTGGAAGATTTTTTAAGGTTATTTTATTATAATTACTTTGACATTTAACGTTTTAACCATCAAATAATTATCTCTGACATTTATGTCACTTGTCATAATTTGACAGTTGGCTTTTGACGTTTACGTCATTAATATTACAATAAACTCCGAATATGTCAATTAAACGCTTCAATTATGATAATTTAACCTTAAAAAGTTCTTAGAGCATGCCGATTTTTACTTGAAGCATACTAGACTGTTTTTTTGCATAGAAGCATCCGGACAATACGGTTCTTACAGATTTGTTTCTATTATTTATTTTTTATATTTATTTGATAATTCGGTCTGTCAAATAGATGTTGGTCCGCTTTTGGTTATACAATGCAAGTGATTAACAAAATTTAACAAGATTGACAACTGTTTGTGTTGTATAATCTTGCAGTGCGCCATTTCATTTGACACCATTCTCTATAATGTTCGCACAGACTGACTTTTGTAGCGTTTTTTCGATGATGCAATTCTTCAAAACGGAATATGAGGCAGATAAATGGATAATAATACCTCTCGTGTACATTTTGTAATTAGATAGGCTTAAGTCTTGATATCTATATATATATAAATAGAAAAAAGGAGAGAGAGAATGAAAGCGTTTTGTTTTTTGAGAGAGTTGCAAACCGATCTCATTTCGATTGTCCTCGCCAAAGGGCAATTTTTTTAGTATTATTTTAATTTTTTTTTAACAAAGACCGATATTGAAAGCTGACATAACTTCAATGTTGATTAGAAATAGTTGAATTTTGATTTGAAAATATTTTCCACGTTGGGCGCCAAAATCTTTCAACGCATGCATTGGGAAAAGTTTGCTTTAAAAATTAAACAAAAAAGCTTTTTGATAATATCGAATTATTAATAGTTAACCATTCGAAGAGCGTCAAAATTTGACATTTAAAACAACGTCAATTTTAATTATTTAACTTAGAAGCTATGTAAATGTTTGAATTTCAATTTTATTTATTAGAATCAAAAATTGAATCACATAATTTATTTGGTTAGTTAAAAAAACTTAATTAATACTTCAAATATTCGTAGAATATTTTCCACGTTGGGCGCCAAAATCTGTAACGCATACATTGGGAAAAGTTTATTTTAACAATTAAAGAAAAACTATTTGATAATATTGAATTATTGATAATTTAACATTCGAAGAGCGTCAAAATTTGACATTTAACAAAGTCAATTTTAATTATTTAGCTTAGAAGCTGTGTAAATGTTTGAATTTCCATTTTATCTATTATATTCAAAAAATTGAATCACATAATGTCATATTAACAGTTGAATTTTCATTTCGTTCGTTAAAAAATTTAATATTTTAAATAGTTATAGAATATTTTCCACGTTGGGCGCCAAAATGTTTAACGCATACATTGAGAAAAGTATTTTAAAAATTAATGAAAAAAATATTTAATAATATTGAATTATTGATAATCAACCATTCGAAGAGCGTTAAAATTTGACATTTAACTAATTATTTAGCTTAGAAGCTGTGTAAATGTTTGAATTTCGATTCTATCTATTACATTCAAAAAATTGAATCACATAATGTCATATTAACAGTTGAATTTTCATTTTGTTAATTAAAAAAACTTCAATATTTTAAATAGTTGTAGAATATTTTCCACGTTGGGCGCCAATATTTTTAACGCATACATTGGAAAAAGTTTATTTTAAAAATTAAAGAAAAATCTTTTTGATAATATTGAAATATTGATAATCAACCATTCGAAGAGTGTCAAAATTTGACATTTAACAACGTTAATTTTAATCATTTATCTATCATTATTTTAAAAAATTGAGTGACCAAATGTCATATTAACAGTTGAAATTTCATTTTGCTAGTTAAAAAAAACTTAATATAGTCAAATCTTTTCCACGTTGGGCGCCAAAACCTTTAACGCAAGTTAAATTTATTTAACTCAATAATTTTTTAAAAAACAAAAATTTACTTTTTGAAAATTAAAGACTTTATTTATTTGCTAAGCTGGAATGAATTTTAATAATGTATTTTACATAATAATGATAAATGCAAAGTTAACAGTTTACGCCGTTTACGGTTTTATATTTTAATAGAATCAACGTTTCTTCTTATATAACTCGCATGAATTAGGAAAAGTTTACTTTATAAATTAATGAAGAAACTACTTGATAATATCGAATTATTGATAATTAAACACCCAAAGAGTGACAAAATTTGACATTTGACATCATTGTTATCTATCACTTGATTCAAAAATTTTATAAAAAATGTTGCTAGTTCGTTTTGCTAGTTTAAAAAACTTATATTTCAAATAATCGTTAAATATATTCCACGTTGGGCGCCAAAACTTTTGACGCATGTATTGGAATAAAATTATTGAACATAAAAATCATTTCATTATACTGAATTATTGATAAATCACTCAAATATCAACATTTAATATTTGACAGGATGTTATGTCAGCTTCGTTGTCGGTTTTTTGTTGTTTCGAGTTACGTCTTTTTTTTTACAACCAAAGATTGTTGATTGTATAGTATTTATGTAAATATATACTTATACCAGGGAACTGAATTATACAGCCCTTAGACATAAAAATAGTTCGAAAAACGTCCGCATGAAGCGATTCGGCTAACTTTTTTTTTTTATTTTTCGTTTCCCCTCGTTTCACCACGACGTTTTTCCTACTTGAATTATTAATATAAAGGTAAATGCTTCCTGTTAAACATTACAGTATATCAATAAGTACAAATGATCGTTTAATGAGAGAAAAAATGGCGGCGTCAAATACTGTCATTCAAAAAAAAAAGAAGCTACCTCTGATATGCTGAATAGCTCGGAAATAGAAAATGTAAATTGTGTTTTAATTCGGAAACGCTAAATTTGCGAGTCCCATCTTATGGGAAATTAAACACCACGAGAAAACTTGTAGCATAAAAAAACCGTTTGATAATGTACATTTTTAAGTTTGTGGAACATATTTTGGCGTTACTTATAGTCCTTGAAAATTGTGCCTGCTTCTTTACTGGTTATTCCATACTTACTCTTTGGTCGATTTGGAGAAACAACCGAACATGATTAGTCAATTAATTTAATTTTTTCATACTTCTGAGTCATAATATATTGATAAAACAAAATAGAAATTTTATTTCAATGGCTTCAATCTATATATTATAATAGTATCCCGAAATACTTATATATGTTTTACTCAAAATTATTGAACTCTCTTTCAAAATTTTCGAAATCTCCGAAATCATCATGGAAATACCAAAATTTTTAAATCTCCACATTATTATCAAAATCCCGAAATCGTCACTGAAATTGCCGCCAAAATCCCAACATCATGACCTAAATCAAGAAATCGCTACTTAAATCCTTACCTCAGCACCGAAATCCCAATATCTCAACCAAAATCCCGATAACTCAAAATCCCGAAATCGCCACTGAAATCCCTAAATCATCACTGAAATTTCGAAATCCTAACCTACATCTGGAAATTACTGTCGAAATTTCGATATTGTCACTAAAATTCCGAAATTGTCAACAAAATCCCGAAATCGCTTACAAATTTCTCAAAATCTCTGAAACTATCACGGAAATTACCGAAATTTCCACCTTAATTCCTGAAATCCTCACTGAAATTGCCGCCAAAAGCCCCAAATTATGACCGAAAACTTGAAATTTCCTCCGAAATCCCGATATATCAACCAAATCCCGAAATCCCCACTGAAATCCCGAAATCATCACCGAAATTGCCATCGAAATTTTGATATCGTCACCAAAATTGCATTCTACATCCTCTGAAATTATCACGGAAATGAGCGAAATTTCGAAATCTACATCCTAATCCCGAAATTATCACCAAAATCCAGAAATAGTCTCTGAAATTGCCGCCCAAATCCGAATTCGTCGCTGATATCCCGATATATTAATTAAAATCCCGAAATCGCTACTGAAAATCGAAAATCATCATCCAAATTCCGAATTTATCTCATAAATTTGGAAATCATGGACGAAATATCGATATCATCACCGAAATTTCCACTAAAATCCCAAAATCATTGAAATCACTTACATATTTTTCAAAATCACTGAAATTATCAGAGATATTACCGTAGTTTCGAAATCTTCACCTTTAACCCGAAATTATCACCAAAATCCTCACTGAAAATGCTGCCAAAATCTCGAAATTAGGTAAAAATCCCGAAATCTTCACCAAAATCCTGGTATATCAAAAAAAAATTCCGAAATTTCATTGAAATTCCGAAATCACCGAAATTCCGAAATTATCACCTAAAACTGGAAATAATATCCGAAATTTCGATATCATCATCGAAATTGCCACTGAAATCCCAAAATTATCACCTAGGTTAGGGTGAAAATGGCTGAGACCTGGATGGATCTATTGTGGCTCATCATCACCTAAATCATGGACGAAATTTCAAAAACGTCACCAAAATCTCGATATATCAACGAAAATCCCGAAATCGCCATTGAAATCCCGAAATCATCAACGAAATTTCGAAATCATCACCTAAATTTGGAAATCATACCTGAAATTCCATATCGCCACTGAAATTCCAAAATTGCAACCAAGATCATGAGCGAAATCCCGAAATCAACAGCGAAATCCCGAAATTCTCACCGAAATCCCGAAATCATCACCAAAATCCGGAAATTATCACCGAAATCCCGAAATCATGGGCGAATTTTCGAAATCATCACCGAAATTCCGAAATCACCACCAAAATTCTGAAATCGGCAAAGAAATCCCGAAATCGCCACCGAAATCTCGAAATCATCACTTTAATGCCGAAATCATCACTGTAATCTCGAAATCAAGGCAGAAATTTCGTTATCACCAAAATCACGAAATAATCAACGAAAT